GAAAGAAGGCAGGCAGGAAGGAAGACAGGCAGGCAGGCAGGAAGACAGGCAGGCAAGAAGGCAGGCAGGCAGGTAGGAAGACAGGAAGGCAGGCAGGCAGGCAGGAAGGAAGACAGGCAGGCAGGCAGGAAGGAAAGAAGGCAGGCAGGAAGGAAGACAGGCAGGCAGGCAGGTAGGAAGGAAGACAGGCTGGCAGGCAGGAAGGAAAGAAGGCAGGCAGGAAGGAAGACAGGCAGGCAGGCAGGAAGACAGGCAGGCAAGAAGGCAGGCAGGCAGGTAGGAAGACAGGCAGGCAGGCAGGAAGGCAGGCAGGCAGGCAGGAAGGAAGACAGGCAGGCAGGCAGGTAGGAAGGAAGACAGGCTGGCAGGCAGGAAGGCAGGCAGGCAGGCAGGAAGGAAGACAGGCAGGCAGGCAGGAAGGAAAGAAGGCAGGCAGGAAGGAAGACAGGCAGGCAGGCAGGAAGGAAAGAAGGCAGGCAGGAAGGAAGACAGGCAGGCAGGTAGGAAGGAAGACAGGCTGGCAGGCAGGAAGGAAAGAAGGCAGGCAGGAAGGAAGACAGGCAGGCAGGAAGGAAGACAGGCAGGCAGGCAGGCAGGAAGACAGGCAGGTAGGAAGGAAGACAGGCTGGCAGGCAGGAAGGAAAGAAGGCAGGCAGGAAGGAAGACAGGCAGGCAGGCAGGAAGACAGGCAGGCAAGAAGGCAGGCAGGCAGGTAGGAAGACAGGCAGGCAGGCAGGAAGGAAAGAAGGCAGGCAGGAAGGAAGACAGGCAGGCAGGAAGACAGGCAGGCAAGAAGGCAGGCAGGCAGGTAGGAAGACAGGCAGGCAGGCAGGAAGGCAGGCAGGCAGGCAGGCAGGAAGACAGGCAGGCAGGCAGGAAGGAAAGAAGGCAGGCAGGAAGGAAGACAGGCAGGCAGGCAGGTAGGAAGGAAGACAGGCTGGCAGGCAGGAAGGAAAGAAGGCAGGCAGGAAGGAAGACAGGCAGGCAGGCAGGAAGACAGGCAGGCAAGAAGGCAGGCAGGCAGGTAGGAAGACAGGCAGGCAGGCAGGAAGGCAGGCAGGCAGGCAGGAAGGAAGACAGGCAGGCAGGCAGGTAGGAAGGAAGACAGGCTGGCAGGCAGGAAGGCAGGCAGGCAGGCAGGAAGGAAGACAGGCAGGCAGGCAGGAAGGAAAGAAGGCAGGCAGGAAGGAAGACAGGCAGGCAGGCAGGAAGGAAAGAAGGCAGGCAGGAAGGAAGACAGGCAGGCAGGCAGGTAGGAAGGAAGACAGGCTGGCAGGCAGGAAGGAAAGAAGGCAGGCAGGAAGGAAGACAGGCAGGCAGGAAGGAAGACTGGCAGGCAGGCAGGAAGACAGGCAGGTAGGAAGGAAGACAGGCTGGCAGGCAGGAAGGAAAGAAGGCAGGCAGGAAGGAAGACAGGCAGGCAGGCAGGAAGACAGGCAGGCAAGAAGGCAGGCAGGCAGGTAGGAAGACAGGCAGGCAGGCAGGAAGGAAAGAAGGCAGGCAGGAAGGAAGACAGGCAGGCAGGAAGACAGGCAGGCAAGAAGGCAGGCAGGCAGGTAGGAAGACAGGCAGGCAGGCAGGAAGGCAGGCAGGCAGGCAGGCAGGAAGACAGGCAGGCAGGCAGGAAGGAAAGAAGGCAGGCAGGAAGGAAGACAGGCAGGCAGGCAGGTAGGAAGGAAGACAGGCTGGCAGGCAGGAAGGAAAGAAGGCAGGCAGGAAGGAAGACAGGCAGGCAGGCAGGAAGACAGGCAGGCAAGAAGGCAGGCAGGCAGGTAGGAAGACAGGCTGGCAGGCAGGAAGGAAAGAAGGCAGGCAGGCAGGAAAACAGGCAGGCAGGCAGGCAGGAAGGCAGGCAGGCAGGGGAAACAAGCACGAGCAAGAAGTGGGAAGAACGGAGCGCTGGTAGGAGAGAAGGCTGCCAGTGCCATGGCAAGCAGCAGGCGCTGCATCTAAGAATGGAGGCATACTACCGCTGCATTCAGCAATTCCACTTCCGGGCCATGTACACAAGAACTGAGAGCAGGGGCTTGCACACCCATGTTCACAGCAACCACACTCACAACAGCCAAAGGGGGAGGCCATCGAAGTGTCCATCAACAGATGAACGGATCAACAACACATGGGCTCCACCTCCCGGGGAATATTACGCAGCCTTAAAAAAGAGGGCAATTCTGACCGCTGTCACAGGAACATGGATGAACCGCGAGGACGCTGTCCTAAGTGAAGCAAGCCAGCCCCCCAAGGACAAAGACGGCCTGACTCCGCTCCGTGCGAGGTGCCTAGCGCCGTCATACTCCGGGCCACGGGAGGTGGAGCCGAGTGTTATCAGGGGCGGGGAAGGAGGAAGGGGGGACCGTTACGGGGACAGAGCTTCAGCTGTGCGAGGCGAAGAGCGCTTGAAGAGGATGACAGTGAGGAACACACAACAGTACGAATGCACTTAATCTCACGGAGGCAGGCGCTTACAAGAGTAGCTTTTATGTTGTGTCGATGTTACCACAATCAGACCAATTAAACAGTTTTCACTTACAGGCTGCGGGGGGCGGGCGGTGGGAGGGGAAGTTTTCTGCCTTTGACCGGCCTTCCTGAGTACAGATTATAAAAGAAGACAAGCAACATGGTGTCGTAGGTCGTGATGGGTAAGCCTCGCACCCTGGGGCCCGGGGCCCCGCCCCACAAGCCAAGTTGCTGCAGCCAAGTCCCGTAACTCTGCTCGGCCTCACTGGCCTCACCAAATGGGTCCAAGGGTACCGAGCTCCCCGGGTTGCGCGCATTCCAGAAGCAGGCCCCAACTCCGAGAGCACGCAACGTGCTGGGTACGCTGGCTTGCTGCACAAAGACCCCTCGGCAAGGGTCAGCTGCTACCCTTTGCCCCCTCAAGACGCCCCGCAGGGGACGCGGCGTGCCGGCCAAGGAAAGCGCTGGGAGCCGGCTTCGAGCCCGCCTCCCACTGCTGCCCGAGTCTTTCCTTGGCTTGGGCCACTGCTTTGTTTTCCTTCAGGAAACGCCACCAGCCGTGGGTGACAGGAAGGGAGGGGAAACTGGCAGAGCAGAAGTCAGTCAGCTGCCCTTTCATCGGGACCTTGGTCAGAGTTCCTTTTGAAAAGCTCCCTCCCGGCCTCCCAGACCCACAGGAAAGGTGGGCTTTTCCACATGTTGACAGAGCAGCGGGGCTCTGCCCACTGGGAGGAAGGTCGGGGAGAGCGAACAGGAAGCGAGGAATACGGGCATCAAGTCCACAAACAGACTTCCTCTCTTGCCGAAGGTTCTGGACCGGCCAACGGAAAGACGGGTCTCTAGGGAGGAGGTGCAGGAATCCATTCTGAGCGAGACAGCCAGAGGGAGGCTGCCCTGACAAGATGGACAGGTGGACTTCCAAACCAAATCAATAACCCTGGACCCCCCCCCCCGCCCCCCTGTGCATGGGGAGAGGGCCCGGGAGGGCTCCGTCTATCATCCCTGCGCCAACCTCAACAATGAATCACCCCTAAGCCACACAGAAAGGAAACACCAGGGAGGCCCCACCTTGGTGGCTGAAAGAGACCAGTGTGAACAAAACCCTCCAACGCAGGGACCTCCCCAGATCCACCTCCCTAACACCGGAGCGCAGCCCGGTGAATGCTGGACGGATGGATGGAGGAGGGAGGGAGGGCGGGTGGACAGGGGGACGCGGGGTGCGCTTCTGGCGGACCTGACAACACTACTGAACGTTTCACCACTGGAAGGGACCGCTTCTCCATCATCCCATCGGGCGGCGTACGTGGGAGCAAGCACGCGGCACACACCCAAACTCTGAGATGACCAGCTGATGCAGGACACTGGCCTGACACCCAGGGGCCTCAGAGATGGAAAGGGACACCGCGGGGGAGCTGGAGAGGTTAGCTGGGGCCTCACGTATCATGCTGACAGATCTTAACAGAGAATTGAAGGAAGGAAAATGACGTAAAAAATTTTAAGAAGGTCTTACACGAGGCTAAAATGATACAATAATTTAAAGCACTGAGCACTGTGTGGCAGGCTGAGTGCTCAATAAATGGTAGGATTTATCATTACATTATTAATAATAACTGGATCAAAACCTTAAAAAATGGAAGAGAGAATGCTCAACTTTACTCAAAAATAAATACAAATTTAAGCAAATATCTGCGTTGCCTTTCACCCATCAGGATCACCAAAGGTCTGGTAATACAGGGAGTGAGGAAAGGCGCGCCCTCTTGCACCACGGGGAGAAATACAAATTGTTACCACCTCTCTCAAAACATTAGACCAGAAAACACTTCACCGCTGGGATCCCTCCTCTAGGACTCGATCCTCTTTGTCCTGTTTGTCTCCTCCTCACACACGCATACAAACAGGGAGACCCCAAGGTTTCTAAGCAGCAGTATTCATGATACTAATGGACCGGGAGCAACTCTACGTCCATCAGGAAGCAAACGATTTCTCCTCAGTAAGGGAATCATGCTGCCAAGTCCAAGGTCAAACCATGTTTGTTACAAAAATGTCCCACTGACGGGGAACCGCTCCGAGACGCACCGTTTGGGGAACACATACACTGCATTTCTCCGTTGATCACTTCCCCGGCTCATGTCTGCCTGGCCCGTCTAACTGTCGCAAGTCAACCTGCTTTCCTTCCTTACGGTCAACCTCTCTCCCGCCCCAAAGTAGGGCAGGTGCGTGGCAATCTTGTGTCTCCCCAGGACACAGAAGGTGCTCAAATGTGAGGGCCTCAAGAATGAGGTCCAAGTGCTCCACGGCACAGCAGCCTTCTCTGCAGATGGACCTGAACATCCACGGAAGTGAGGCTCCAGCCAGGTGAGGGCTGTGTCACCATCAGCCCCCAGCGCCTGGCACGGCATCTGGCACCTCGCAGGTCCAGCCAGACCGCACGAGGGCCTTCCCACACCACAAAACATGCTCCGGTGGCCGTGGAACGTTTCAAGAAAGAACATCAGAGGCCAATACGATCTGGAGAAAACCACAGAAATACGAACGAATCTTACCTGTTTCTTCTGGTTTGATCCACTGAATAAATCTGCTTTCTCAGCCAACTGGGAAGAGAGTTGAGATAGAGACAGAGAGAGAGTGAGTTAGTAAACAGTCCCAGTTTCGGTTAGTTCTATGGAATGGGGACAAAGGATACTGGAAACAAGAAAAGCTTTCCAACTTGCTAACTCGAGCAGCTCGGGAAGAAGCAGTTTTCTCCCTGTTGTTGAGACGCCCTAGCTGAGCCAAGAGGACCCCCCCACAACGCATAGAGGCTGGCACTCTTTAAACGGACAATCCTCTCTGTTCATTATCCCCCCAAAAAGCTGATGAGAAAAACGGTGGGAATCAGAGCGTTTTAACCGAGGGGACAATCATTCACATGTCAATCCCACACGGACCTCCACGACACAGACGCACAGACAAGGCCGTCCTGAGTGGGTGGCAAATCCCACACCCTGTATGGGGCTGTCCTTTGGTGAGTCGGCTGAATCCCTTCCTAATCCTGCAAGAAGGAAGCCCTCTGTCCTCCCCTCAAACACCACCAATGCCTGTTTCTGTCTGGGTTTCAGCAGGCGCCTCACCCCAGGCAGCCAAGCACTTTTGCTTAAAAGTCAGTACCTCTCGATAATGGTGGGTGTGGACGCGCTCATTGCTTCCTGGTGTAAGATTTTCAAGCCCGAGAGCCACTTAGTCGCATCTTCCTTAGAGTCAGCTGGAAGGTGAACACGGATGGAAATGGCGTTACTCCCTGGGGAAGACCTCTGCAGAGCAATTGGGGCCCTGGGCCATCCCAGCCCCATACAGACCACGGGGACAGGAGGAGCCAGGACCCATTTCCGGTTTTGCTCAAGGGCGCCAAGAGGGCATCTCCTTCACACCTTCATGGTTCTTAGACCTGCTTTTTGTCCAAAATAAAGCCACATGCCCGTGATGACCCTTCTACAGCAAGGGTGACAAGTGGGACAATTTTTTTCCAAGAGTTTTAGTTTTTACCCGTATGCTAGTGAATAAGATGCAGGGTCTGGGATAATTCCCACCACAATCCTGAGCCGCCCTCAGCATTTCCCGTTTCTCATCAAGGCCAGGGAGAGAGAGGAGAGAGGCAGCACCAAGCAGCAGAGAAGGGCTTGGCATTGCTGACAAGTCCCACGGCACCACTTTGGGGCTGTGTGACGTTCAGCTGTCTCCTGAACCCCTCTGTGCCTCATTTCCTCATCAGTACAAGGGAGCTAGCCACGCAGACACTCGTTGAGTTATTAACCATCTCCTAAGGACCAGGTACCTTGTTTATCTGGACGAGAGCATGCCAAGGTTTCTGCTCTCCCTCTTCCCATGGGAATGAGGAGAGGATTAAGCTCAGAAGTGTTAGGAGACCTGTCCCAGAGCCCGTAAGTGGGAAGCTGGGATCTGAATCCAGGTCTTGCCCATCGCTCTCCTGGACCTAAATTCTAGAGCTCTAAAAGAAAGACCCCAGAGTGGAACAGAGTTAGCAACCTGGACCGCAAGACCCACTTGGGCTCTCGTGGTCTCCCTACCAAGAACCACCAGGCCTCAACCTGCAGCAGGGCTAAGTGGACACAGTTCTGAAGTTCATGGGCAAAGGCCCCTCTCTCCTGCCCCATCTCTGCACCAACCACACACCATCAGTCAGACGTCCACTCATCATGTCCCACACCCAGCTTGCTATTTCCCTCCTTCAAGCCCTCACACATGGAACACCCTCTCTCTGGACTGGCCTCCCTCTCTCCTCCCAACTCCTACTGATGCCTCAAAACCCAATTTAAAAGTCACCTCCTCCGCAAAGCCTTCCCTGAAATTGGCCCTCTGCACTCCGACAGCAGGCTGTATTGTGAATGGACTGTAGCTCTTATCCCAGTGTACTGTGAGCTCCTGAAAGGCAGCAACCGGGCTTATTGGGCCCAATAGCCCCAGTGGCCTCCAGCCCAGTGCAGAGTACGTGTTCAAAGGTGCGTGCTGAGCAAGCGAGAGAGCAAATCAATGAGAGCTACTGGGCCCTAATTTAAATGTCCCTGACACTGCTCAGCTTTCATTGTTTCCTCCCACTTGGGTCTACTTTTAATGGGATTTATTTTCTCTCATCACTCCCAGCTGTACATACGGTTCTAAGTCAATGAATTCTAGAAGTGGACCTGAAGGGGGTGACAAGCTTCTGCCCCCGAGTCAAGCGCCTGAGCTTTTCCACAGTTCATTCTCTGGCCTCTCAGAGGCCCCTTTGCTTTTGGGTGAATTCATAGGGATGGCTGGAAATCTCACCTGCAGGTCATGTGTCTATGGGAGTGCACACGTCCATGCACACGTGTGTGTTTAAGTGTATTGTGTGTACATGTGTGAGCACGTATGTGTCTGTGTGGGGGTGTCTATGTGGGGGTGCACATATGTGTGAGATCTAAGATTTTGGGAAGTTTCTCCAGTTCAATTGAATACAGGCCAGGCTCTGCTGGATGAAAACTATAGCCTGCCTTCACCTTCCTGCATGAGTCAAGCAGGCCCTTAACATAATGCTTACAATGTCCCAATGAGGCCGGCATTACCATTTTCCCCATTTCACAGCTGAGCAAACTGCAGCTCAGAGAGGTTGAGTAACTTGCCCAAAGGCACACAGCTAGAACAGGACAGGGTTAGAATTCAAAACCATGATGCCCCCAAACACACATTAGGGGCAGGCAGGTGTGAGCCTTCTGCTACTACAGAACATCCTAGGAAACAGCCAGGCACAGGCAGGGAGAGAGGCACACGGAGGCGCACTCACCTGCCAAGCTGAGCGTGCTGAGAACAAACTGGGTGCCGTACAAGATGGTAAAGCAGCAGTCTTCCTTCTGGCGGACAGCTTTTGCACGCTCAAAATCCTTGGAGCTCTTCCCTGGGCGGATTTCCTTGATTTCCATGATATCCACTAAAAGACAATTAAGACGGGCCCATCAGAAGCCAGAGTTCACTGCACCTGAGGACGTAGCCACACCGCCTGCGCCCCATATGCACCGCCCAGCTCCTTTACTCCCCAGCCCCTCAGCCCTGTCTAAACTGCAGGATTATATGCAAGTAAAAAGCTTGCTGTTCTAAGCTACTAAGTACTGGGATAGTTGTATAGCAACAGATGATAGAAACAAGAAGAAATCTATCCTCCCCATAACCCCTGCTGCTGTGGGACTCCAACCCACTCCTAACCAAACTGGGCCAGGATGGCCAGCTGACCCAAGAGTGACCGCTCCCCCCACAGGATGGCCACCTGACTCAGGGATGACCCTGCCCCCCTTAGGATGGCCAAATGACCCACAGGTGACTCCTCCCCCCACCCCACAGGATAGCCACCCGACCCAGGGGAGATCTCCCTCCTTGCCACAGGATGACCATGGACTGTCACGAAGAGACAAGTTCGACCAGTCCCTTCCTGCCTATTTTTCCCGTCAAAACAGCACCTTTCCTGGACCTAACCCGTCCCGTCAAAACAGCACCTTTCCTGACCCACTCAGAAGTGCCTCAGATGAAGCTGATCTGCCTCTCCTTGCCACCGACCACAACAAGTCAAAGAGGGGGCCCAAGGGTCCTGGGAATGACCAAGGTGCCCCACGCTGGGGCACCATGATTGGTTCAGGGACGAGCACATGGCCCACCAGCATCCTCTTGGCACTTTTTTGGCCAGAGATATTTATACAATTTCTCTTGCTGCTGCGGCCTGGCTGATGAAACAGGAGTCTGGGGGTAACGGGGAGCATGCTGCCTGCCCTAAAGAAAGAAAAGATTGAGCCCGGATGTACTATCTGAACCCCTACACAATAAATTCTCTTTCTAGCTTTGGTTAGTGTGACCTGAGTTTCTATCACTTGCAACCCTCAGAGTCCTGGCATGTATATCTCAGTCCTTGTACTGAAGAGAGAAACAGGCAAAAAGGTATCCCTGGAAATGGGAGGCGAGGGAGGGAGCGTGGACCTGGAATGGAGGAAGCCAACAGGTGAACAACGGCATTTAGAGTCAGGGTTGAAACAGCAGGAAAGGTTCATGCACAGGTAGCAACAGGAGTGGGGGTGCAGTGAATGCAATCAGGAAGGAGAGGGACGGAATGAACTGGAAGCTCTCTACTTTCTTCCCATGGGTCTAGCCAGACCAAAAACAGCTTGGCGGACAGGAGTCATGAAGGAATGTGAAAAGACTTTAAATGGGTGCATCTGTTCTGCACCCTGTGTGTGGCAGTATTTACACAATCCTATCCACGTGAGAAAGCCACCAAACCAAACCCGGGTTCACGTAAAATAAATGGCGAAAACCAGTTCCGTTCTGTAATTATTTTATTTTAGTTTTTACTTTTTAAAGATTTATTTGAGAGAGAGAGAGAGAGAACACGCGCGCGGGAGCACGAAGCACAGGGTGCAGGTGCAGAGGGAGGGAGAGAAGCAGACTCCCCACCAAGCAGGGAGCCCAACACGAGGGTCAAACCCAGGACCCCGAGATCATGACCTGAGCCGAAGGCAGACGCTTAACCGACTGAGCCACCCAGGCGCCTCCCAGGTCTGTATTTTAATCACACCGTACCAGTGTCAGTGCCCTGGGTTTGGTGACTGAACAAGAAAGGTGTTATCACCGGGGGAAGCCAGATGAACGGTACACAGAAATCCTGTGCTATTTCTGCAATGTTCACATGAGTGTAAAATTGTTGCAAACCAGAAAGTTTTAAAAACCACTTCTCGCATGATAAATTCCAACTGCTAAAAGGAAAAAATCTACAGCCAAGAATACTCTATCCAGCAAGGCTTTCATTTAGAATAGAGGGAGAGATCAAGTTTCCCAGAAAACACCCAAAAATTAAAAGCAAAACCAGCCACGTCCCTGTCACACCCGATGCCATCGGCCTGTGGGTCCCAAATCCACAGTCCAGCTGCCCTCCTGCCCGAGTCAGCATGCACGGCCTGCCACCTGCTAAATGCCAAGTCCACACGCCTTCAGCTCAGATTGCCAAGGGCTCAAATTGACACTCTTCCCCTCAAATTCCAGCCCCTGTGCTCAGGTTTGTGCACAAAAGTGGGCATAATTATAACAGCAGAATGAAGCAACCCAAACATCTATTTCTGTGGAATACAGAATGGATAAAAGGAGTGTGCTAGGCTGAGAACATCTCCAACAAGCACATCAAAGAACAATACCTACAGCATGATTCTGGTTAGTAAAAAAAAAAAAAACAAAAAAAAAAACCTGGGAAGAATAAAACAAGATGAAACCAGAGAGGGAGAAAAACAGTAAGAGACTTCTCAAGCATAGGAAAGAAACTGAGGCTTGCTGGAGGGGAGGTGGGCGGCGGGGGATGGGGTAACAGGGTGGTGGGCATGAAGGAGGGCATGTGATGGAATGAGCACTGGGTGTTGTATGCAACTGATGAATCACTGAACTCTACCTCTGAAACTAATAATACACTATATTGTTAATTAATTGAACTTAAAAAAAAAAAGGAACCCCCTCCCCAAAAAAACCACTTCTCAACCATAAGTGGTCCTTTTATTTTGGGAGCATGGATGCCTCTAAACCCTGGTGGGGAGAGGAATAGGGGCCAGATCCCCATTCTTCACCGAACCCAGAAACCTGAAGTCTTTTCTCTTTGCCCTCACTCCCCAAAAACAAACACCCTTTATGTGCACTGAAATTTACAGCCTTCTGGGAGGAAGTTAGCCTTGCCAATTTAACTGTTTACACCTCCTCTAAGAACATTGAGGGTGGTGAGTTTGTTCTTGGATGTTACCCACCCAGCTCACTGCCGGGCAAGATGCTAGTGACTTGAAGCAAGAAGCAAATATATTTTTTTTTTCCTATCAAGTCTAGCAGTGATTATCTACTATCCTTGTTCCCCATAAAGTATCTGTAGGTGAGAATCTCTGAGTCGGCCTACTGTAAGTTTTTCTCCCTACAAGAAACTTACAATAAAAATCTGACACGTGTACATAAAGAAAAAATTTCATATACTGTAACACCGTCCTCAGGCAATTACCAGTTCTACTTTCTAAATTACTCTTGACTCGGTCAACTTCTCTCCATTCCCACGGCCAATGCCATAATCCAAGTCACTGGATCTCTTGCTTGGCCTGTTGAAGTAAACAGAAGTTACCCCAGAACCTTTTTTATGAAATTTAAATAAGCTCATGTTGGAGCGCCTGGGTGGTTCAGTCGGCTGTGAATGGTGAGGCTATGAACACTCACATCCAACTCTTGATTTTGGCTCAGGTCATGATCTCAGGGTCACGAGATCGAGCCCTGTACCAGGCTCTGCGATCAGCAGGGACCCTCTGTCTCTCCCTCTCCCCCTTCTCGTGTGTGCATGCTCTCCCTAAAATAAATAAATCTTTAAAAAATAAGGAAGTAAATAAATAAATATGTTCACGACCCTCCTGGGCTTCAAACCTTCTGACTGCACGCCAGGGCCCCTAGGACGGAGAACCCAGGCCCGGTGTCGACCCCGCCAGCTCCACCTGCCTGCGCCCTCGGCACTCCAGCCACCTGGTGAGCGGTCACCCCCAGCACACAGCATCAGCACGTGCTGCTACCTCTGCTAGGAATGCTCTGGCCCTGGTTCCCTCCGAGTTCCCCCTTCCAGTTTCAGCTCAACCACCATCGCACTCACAGAAAACCCTCCAACTTCTGCTATCATACATATCCGCCCCTCTCCCCACAGCACCGAACCGAGGCCAGTGCCTGCACGTGGGACTCGTGGGCTCGGAACCTCTTCCCTCGAAGGCGCTCCCTTCCTCAGTGCCGTGTCCCAGCCCCTAGCACAGTGGCTGGTACCCAGTGGACCCAATCAATAGCTGTGGAATGAGGAAGCGGTCGGGGCGACCGGGACACAAACCGGAGATGGACACAGGGATATGAACAAACACAAAAGGAGACCCCCGGACAGGGCAAAGAGGGATACAAACAAGCACAGGTGCCACCTGGACAAGGAGGGAGAGGGATACAAACACGCACAGGTACCAAGTCAGACAGGAAGAAGCGTGAGACGTGGAAAGAGAACGAAAGAGAAAGAGCCACTCTAGGGAGGCGAGTGGTCCTGCCTTCCACTTTGGCGCCAGCTTCGGAGCCAGACACGTCCCGGGGGAGGGCTGCAGGCACCCACCGCTCCAGCAGGACCCGTCACCTCCATGACATCATGCCGACCACGCCCCTCCCCTCCTCCCCACCCCACCCCCACCCCAGGTAAAGGCAGGCTCATTCATGATGCTCCTGAAGAGACCAGGCCTTCTGCAGGGGCTTAGCCCTTTCTCCCCTGCCATCAGCTGACCGGACTCGTGCAGATCTCACCCGAGCGCCTGCTCAACATTGCCTGCCTTCTCCACCCCCACCCCTGAAATGATTCGTCCTGTTATTTTTTTTTTAACATTTTATTTATTTATTTGACAGAGAGAGAGAGAGAGAGCGAGAGCAGGAACACAAGCAGGGGGAGTGGGAGAGGGAGAAGCAGGCCTCCCGCGGAGCAGGGAGCCCGATGCAGGGCTCGATCCCAGGACCCTGGGACCATGACCTGAGCTGAAGGCAGACGCTTAACGGCTGAGCCACCCAGGCGCCCCTCGTCCTGTTATTTTTATAACTGGCCCATAAAGCTCCTCACGTGCACATCTGTATGTACAGGCGCATCCTCCTCTGAGCCCCCAGACAACAGGGATCCTGTCTGTCCCGCGCGCTCACAACTGGAGACTCACGGCCACGTGCACCAGAGCCTGGCTCAGAGCAGAACTCGGGTACGTGTGCAATGAATGGCTTAGGTTATTTGGGAGGTGGTCCCAGGAACACTGGTAGGGGAGCGAGGATGTGAGACCGGCAAGGAAAAGAGCTAAGGAAGAAGCTGCTAGGACGTCAAGCTGGCCCTCCGTGGGTACCTGGAGCAGATCCCACGAGAGCTCTGGGAGTCCTTGCCCC